AAGAAGCTCATCATGCTGAATACACAATTCATCCAGGCAGTACCAAAATATATAGACTTGAAAGTAATATTCTGGTAGCCAGGTATGAGGAGAGACGTTGAATATGTAACTAGATGTAAAGCATGTCAAATGGTGAAAGCTGAACATCAGCGGCCTAGTGGATTACTGCAATCACTACATGTCCCTGAGTGAAAGTGGGAAGAAATTGCAATGAATTTTGTTATGGGATTTCCTCGATCTAAACAAGGTCATGACATCATTTGGATAATTATTGATGGACTAACAAAATCAGCTCATTTTTTACCTATCAAGCAAACTGATTTGGTAGACAAATTGGCACGCCTGTATGTGAAAGAAATTGTTAGATTGCACGGTATTCCAAAAGTTATTATCTCTGATAGATATGGTAAATTTATTTCTAGGCTGTGGAAAAGCATTCATGAAAACTTGGGTACAAATCTGCACTTCAGTATAGCTTTTCATCCTCAGACTGATGGTCAATCTGAAAGAATCATTCAGGTACTGGAAGACCTGTTAAGATTATGTGTTTTAAATTTTAGAGGTAGTTGGGAGGATCATATACTATTGATCGAATTTGCTTACAACAATAGCTATCAAGCAAGTATACAAATGGTGTCATATGAAGCACTTTATGGTAGAAAATGCAGAACTCCCTTAATTTGGGTTGAGGTAGGAGAAAGACAACTAATAGATTTAGAGTTAGTTGATGAAAGAACAGAGAAAATTAGATTAATCAAAGATAGATTAAAAGCTGCCCAGAATCGCCAGCAAAAGTATTATGACCCCATGCACATAGCAGTAGAGTTTGAAGTGGGTGACTTTGTATTCTTGAAGGTTAAGCTTGTGAAAGGTACATCTAGATTTGGTCAAGGCGGCAAATTGAATCCTAGATATATAAGACATTTTGAAATTACTGAAAGAATTGAAAATGTTTATTATAGACATGCTCTTCCAACAGACATGTCAGATATTCATAATGTTTTTTACGTGTCACTGCTAAGAAAATGTGTTACTAATGCCCATCAGAGAATTTCACATGATGAAATTGATCTACAAAAGAATCTGATATATACTGAAGTACTAGAAAGACTAATAAGTTTTAATATTAAACAGCTTAGAAACCGTTAAATCCCTTATGTCAAAATGAAATGAAAATACATACCAGAAAAGAGGCAACTTGGGAGAAAGAAAAGGACATTAGATTGAAGTTTATTTGATGGTCCTTAAAACAATAAATTTTGAGGACGAAATGTCAACAAGGAGATGTGGATTATAATACCCAATGTTTTGTTAAATATAAGCATGAATTTTCTTCAAATTAATAGCATATCCATATTTAAACTAGGAGCTCAATAATATACTTCTATTTTCATCTCAATTATTGGCATTTCAATTTCACATTTTATTAACTGTAGCTATCATGACTTATTGCAAGATCAATCAACCATTTATTTAAATGCATCACTGTAGCAAATCCACTTAAAATAACATGCAGAGGCTGGATGTAATCATACGGCAGGGAGTTGAGAAAATTGTGGTAGTGAAAATTTGTGGCAGAGCATTAGTATTAGTTTAGTATTATATAATAAAAGTTAAGTTAAAATCTTTGCATTGGTTTTCATTTTTCCTAACCGACATTCTCTAGAGGCGGCAAGGTCAGGGAGCTCAAGCATTAGGCTATAAGAGGAAGTGAAGCTGTTGTTTTGGAGAAAAAAAAAGAATTCAAAAAATAAAAGGGAGAATGAGAAAAGAGAGGTGAGGGAAGAATTTTGAATGGAATGAAAAAGAGTTTAATTGAAGTGGTATACAAAAGGAGAAAGAATCAGAATACTTTAGGTGAACCAGTTTACCCCACTATTCTGGAAGATGCTGTGAGATACCCAAACGAGGTAATAAGAATTAGTAAATGTTCTTTTATTACACTTCATCTTTATTATGCTTATGACCGCAATTATATTTCAGTTTATTTTAGTTTATTTTGTATGAACATGGATGAATATTTATGAAACTATTTATGTAGAGAGTAATATTTATCAATGTTAACGATTTTGTAAACATAAAAGGATAAATATTCATAAACTAATGAATGATCAAAAAGGGCAGCTAAAGCGCAGCAAAAGCTCAGCATCAAAAAGAGCAGCTAAAGGGCAGTTAAAGCGCAGTAGCAAAAAGGGTAGCTAAAGCGCAATAGCAAAAAGGGCAGCAAAAGGATAACAAAAGGGCAACTAAAGAACAACTAAAGAGCAGCTAAAATACAGCAAAAGGGCAGCAAAAGAGCAGCTAAAACGCAGTTATGTCATTAGGGCTAAAAAGGATGACCATATAGAAAGTAAAATAAGTTATAAATGGGGAACTGGGGAATAAGCCCGCACAAGTAAACGTGAAAGATCCAACGAGGTAAGCCTACACTCTCAATTCTAGAAGTTGGGGAAATTGGACTCAACCCTAAATGAGATAACAACTTCTATTCTAAAAGTTGGGAGGTTGGACCCAACCTTGAATTAAAAAGGTGAAAAGGTGCGAAAGCTTATAGCCATTATATGACTTGTTCAAAGATATTGAACAGTTTTGACAAGATGAATAATACTGTTAGGCTCAATATGGCATTTCAATATGTGTTTTAACTATGTTAGCATTATTAAGCATTTCTTAATTATTTATTATTATTTTTTATAAATTATTTGTGTATTTCATTGAGCCTAGTTCATTAGCAGTGGTTGTACTACAGGAAATGGAAAGAAGCCCTTGGGATAGTAAAAAGAGGTGATCGTTTTTTTGGTGTAAATACGTTTTGGGTGTACAAAGAGATCTAAAATAAGATCTGAATGCTAGATGTAAAGACTTTTGGATATATGAGTAAATTTTAAAAGTTTTAGTAGAGTTATGTATTTACTTCAATTATATTTGATGTTCATTAAAGGACATTATATGTTTTTCATTATTAATTATGGAATTTAATAGGTTAACAAGTTAGGAGAGTCAAAATAGATTTATTTTTACTCACTATATTCTAAAAATAGTGGCTCAAAATGGGTGTTAATAAAAAGGAACCGATTTAGATTTTCCTTCTCTGTTATACTCTAGGTTGACCGTTAGGGGGTAGGCCAAACTAGGTTATTACACTTGTCATCCCCTTAATATAATCCATTCTCACCATATGTTTCCAATTTTTACCCACATTTGTATTGGCGTATTCATATTTTTCAAACTCAAGTTGGGTAATGGCAACTCTCCTAGTCCACACACTCATATCCATACACCATAGTTAATATAATTGTTGTTCTATAAAAGTAACTTTTAAGTTACCATGATATTCTAAAACTATTTAATACTCCACAAGTGCATTTTTATTTAACCATTGCAGAGAGGTATGTCGAAGTCAAGGATAAAGTAGCTGCTGAAGTCGATAATCAGGCGAAGATGAAATTTTTTATGGGAAAAAAATCATTACATACACTACAGGCATAAAAAACGAACCATTATTACGGGAAGCAGGAGAAGAGGAAGCAATGAAAGGGAGTTAGGGAAATAAATCGTTACCTTTGCGGAGAGGTACGTCGGTATTTCAAACGACGGAAAGGTGGCTACTGAAGTCAGCGTTTCAAACCCCCTCAATCTCACATGAATCACTTGCGATGAGAAGCAGGAGAAGAAGATGAAGCAAACAACGAGAAGAAAGTAGAGGTATGAAAGGAAATAAATTGTTACCTTTGCCTCCAAGTACAATGAACTCGACCGAACTTGACTGTCGAATTCGGTGGAGTTCCCTTTCGTCTTTCAGTTCTCACACAAAGTAGATACTCTAATCCTATATGCGACCCTTATATGTCTCCACCGCTCGGTGGTACATACATATAAACTAAGGCGGTACCTTTCTACTCCTCGAGGTGTTACGATCCGATGCATACACCTCGTGTGAAAAAATCACATGCTCTGCCCGACCCTTCGAGACTTGAGCCTCAACGTGCATAGCTTCCGCCATAACCTGAGGCACGCATCAATGCATACACCTCACCCGCCTTTTTATTCCATGCATGTAACATGTACAAATTTGAGTTAGTTTGAAAGATGACAAAACAAAATGGAAGAGTTAATTGCTTCTGATGTAGTCCATGTCCAAGTGGCTTATGGCCAAGATCTCAATAATGTGGATCAACCAACATGGATATGCTGCCAGCACCAAGCTTGAAGGAGGCATGGACATCCGACCATACTACTTTTATTGGCTTCATCGCTTCATTGATTTCTCGATAAAGGTATGTTAAGATAGCACTAAACAAGAGTACTGCAAAAAAACCTAAGGTTTTCCAACAGCGGAAGATATTGTAGATACAAAAGATGCCCAAAAGTGTCTGACAACAGAAAGAAGCCTAAGATTAGGAGTATGTATGCTCGAACATGTCTTGAAAGTTCTAACCCAGATAAATTCAAATACAACAAATGAGCAAAAATCCATCTAAGTCATCGTAATGACAAGCATATCTTCACTTAAGCCTTTCTCAACTGAAATGTTATTATTAAATTTGGGTCATCGAGATGAAGATTTGTAACCTCTAGGCCAGGATGACTTCCTAGGAGCTCATCATAGCAATCGTCACCTGGTCCGACTGTAACAAGCAACACAAATGCACGCCCATAAGAATTTATTATACCCAATACGATAGTCAACATTCTTCAGTGTGACTATCATCTGACTGACTGGTAAGTGGAATGTGTTGATCTGGGGACACCAATTCTCCACTAAATTGGTAAGTAAGTAATAATCTAACTTGATGAAGTGGAGGTGTTTAACAATCAATTCCTACTTATGCAAGGAATGTGATAAAATGAGGGCAGTATACTTGCCATTCCCTAGCCACAAGCATGTGGTTAGCTACTTCTATAATTGTTACCAATAAAGGTAAATGGAAAAAAACTAACACGAACAAATATGAAAAGTAACATAAACACATATATCTTATAATGGAGAGAGGAGTTACAATATCATATCTAAATGTGCAACCCTGTGTGAACAACATAGGCATGCTATGCTAGGGTGAAACTCTGGAGGTGCAAGCTCCATAGGCTCGCTCGACATCTTATCTTGTTGTCTTCAGCTGCATCAAGTTCTCGAGGGCCCCGCTTCATCCATCCTACATAAGAAGCTTAAGGAATGTTTAGCAAAAATATATATATAGAAGTTAAAAGTACAATAATAAAAGAATTATGCGCAATTTCATTGAATTCTTTTTAAATCTTGGGCATGTCGATTTGTTATGCTCAGATGTTTGGCAGTGTGAGCACATCCTACTACTTAGTCTGTGTTCATCCATGGTATTTATAAATCTTCTCATACTTTGTCTACCACTTCTTACATAAATGAGAGGTAACATTTCAACAAGACCATCAGCTTAGACAAAACCCAAACCATGTAACTCATTCGAAGCATTAAACATGAAATATAAATGTGCAGGTCTTTCGGAAGATATCAATTGTGTGGTATTGTAAAACAAAATTGTAATGATTACGTCCTTTTCTAAGAACGGAGATAACTCGTGAGCAGGGCAAATTATAGGTTTTTGATAGACTACACATGCAACTACATTCTCCAAAATTGCTGAACTGTACACGATATGATATGCTTGAGCTGGTGAATGCTTGAGCTGGTTCCAAGGAAAAGCATACAACAGTCTCATATATCTGTATTACACATTTATTCTTGGTGAAAACGAAGAGTCATTTGCTTGAAGTAAATTCGATGCATCATTAGAGCGCCTAACAATCAAAGAGACTGCAATGTAATAAATAGCTTGAACTAGTGCTTGAATAGGCAAACCACATGCATACTTCAATACATTGTTTAAATTCTCTAAGGCATGCTGTCCCATTTAAATCCACCACAATTACTTAAGACCAAGTCCCATTTAAATAGATCTCTCTGAATCAACCAATCATATGCCTCTGCATTCATAATTTTTATTTCTTTTAATTCAGAATTAAAGATAGAAACATCGTCACTGTTCTCTGCACAGTGCATCTTATAACACAATCCATTAAAACATTTAGTGCAACCATTATAAATAATGATTTCTTAAATTTTCATGCAAATGGTGTAAATAATGGCGATATACATCCTATAAAAATAATTCACAGCAACCAGGACTAAGTCCAAAATATCTATCAGAAATTATATATGTCTCTATGAGACCGTATAGGCATTACTAAGTCATTCAATGTTCTCAAAAAACATATCCATGAATCATTACTTTTGCTCTCAATAATGATAAATGATAAAGGGGAATAAATCATTATTTGCGTTCATATAAATTGCGGACAGTAATATTCCCCCATATTTTTCAGGCAAAAAAGTATCATCTATACTAACCACAGACCGAATGTCCAACTAGATTTAAATGGCACAAAGGCCCAAAACTTAAAATGGAAACAGTGATGGTCAATTGTATCAATTGTATATATAATACCAAAAAGAGTGCTATGCAGAGCTTCCATAAATCTATAGATAGAACGATATGACTCCTCCAATCTATCAAAAATAAACATGCTTTAATGTACAATATTCTAATGTTAAATTTAAACTCCATCTGTCCTATAATCTTCTTCAACTTTATATCTATATATTGGAAAATTGCGATTGTAATATAGTGATAAATAAATATTGAAGTATAATTAAATAAATCAGCATTTAAAATTGGATGAGTTTGACTATAATAAATATCAATACTAGATATTCTACAAACATTATAAAATCGTTGACTCCTAGAAGCATGCAAATGCCAAGAATATAGTTTACACGGGTCATCATGCAGCACGCAATCAACAATTAATCTCCTCTCGTTTAATGCATTCTTTCGGTTTCTCACATTTTTGGTGGTGGACTAACTAATTGTTGCAATTTGAAGATCATTTTGTTGGTAAATATCATGTCAGCTGCAAGATTGGGGAGAATAACTCCATCATTGATTCTATCATTATTTTATGTTAGAGGATCGTGCATACATTCTGCTTCCCATTCTTGTGTTGATTTGCTCATGTGCATGACAATATTATTTTCCAACACTGCATCAGCTGTTTCAATGTTATTTGAAGTGTTCTAACAAATTAGTTGAGGTCGTCATCTGCAACATTATTATCTGCATCATCATAGGCTTCCCTTCTTCTACGCAACTTGAATAAGTGCCCAAGTTATCGTCCATTGAATTGTATCATCATTAAAACATGTGTGACAAATGTTCCAGGTCTAGACGACTGTCTCATTGAGACGAACTAATGATATATATTGTTGATCAAAAATGTATGCGTTATCGAGTAATAATTATTTATAATCTCACGTCTCTACTTGCGTATTTGTGGCACAGATAATTTCATTGTGTCTTATTGCAATATGGGTTGAATTGTTAAACTAAAATGACAATTTTGCTTCCACATAATAAATAGCAGTTGTTGTCAAGCCACCGATAAAACAATTTGATGCACCTCATCATCTAAAATATGGGCCATCATAAAACCACCACTAATAACAATGACTGATAAGGTCTACTGTTTGGATAGAATTATCGTAACTTATAGCTTGCATAGCTCTATGTTTAAGCCTTTTCAAATTTGTGGAAACTATAACCTAATTGGAATGAAGTTTGCCCCCATTTTAACTAGGATTAATTACATCTATGACTTCACAGTCAAATACAAGCATTTAAAAAATATGGTATATAAAATAATAGAAACGTATCAAGAAAATTTACATTAGGAAATAGCCTTTGATATTTACTCTAAACATTTAAACATAGATTGTTATCATGACTACATTTTAGACCGTCATAGAAATTTCAATAATGTTGGCAACACAGTGATTGTGCCTGAATGAATTTATTACTACAAAAAAATAGTGACTGATACTAATTTAAATTAAGTTAAATAAATACTTCTAAATTAAAATTAAATTACTATTCTATACACGATTTAGTATCAAACAATAATATCACAACAAAATAACTAATAAGATAACCATAAACAAAAATACCTCTAGATGAAGGCTACCTCTAACCCCCTCAATTTGAAAAACAAACAATAACAACAACAACAACAACAAGCCTTTATCCTACTACGTGGTGTCAGCTACATGAATCTTTATTGTCCATTATGTCCTGTTAAGAGTCAAATTCTCATTTAAATCTAAAAAAAAAAGGTCATTTCTAATATTTTCTAACCAAGTCTTTTTAGGTTTACCTCTACCTTTATTAATACATGCAAAATCTAATACATCTACTTTCCTAACTGGGTCATCGGAAGGTAGCCATTTTATGTAACCAAACAATCTAAGGTGACACTCTAACCTTATCTTCAACTAGAGCTACTCCTACCATTTCACGTATATGCTCATTTTGTATCATGTCTCTAAAAGTAAAGCCACTCATCCACCTGAGCGTCCACATCTTTGCAACACTTAACTTAATATTATGCTTCTCTTTTAATGGCCATCATTCTGCACCAAAAAGCATTGCAGGTCTCACAGAATTTTCCCTTAAGTTTAAGGGGGACTTTTCTATCATACAAGAAGCCTGATGCATTCCTCCACTTCAATCATCCAACTTGAATTCTGCTAATAATATCCCCATCTATTTCACCTTCATTCTGAACAATAGACCAAAGATATCTAAAATGTGTACTCTTATTAATGACCTGATTGTCCAAAGTCACAAACTCTTCACTAGATCTATTACTACTAAAATTACACTCCATACATTCAGTTTTAGATCAACTAAAATAAAAACCTTTAGACTCTAAGGTTGACCTCCGTAATTCAAGTTTACCTTCAACTCTCATTGTAGTATTATTAACAAGAAGAATATCATCAGGAAAAAGCATACACCAGGGTACAACCTCTTGCAAATGTCTAGTAAGAACATCCATGACTAAAACAAAAATATATGGGTTTAAGGCTAATCATTGATGTAATCCAACAGAAATAGGAAAATACTTGGTCAAAACACCTTGTGTTTGAACACAAGTAACAGCACCTGCATATATATCCCTAATGACTTGAATATAAGCATTAGTAACTCCTATCTTTTCTAAACTTTCTATAGCACTTCTCTTGGAACTTTATCATTTGATTTCTCTAAATCAATAAATATCATAAGCAAATCCTCCTTATTCTCTCTATGCTTCTCCATCAAACCGCTCAATAAATGAATAGCTTCCATAGTAGACCTACCCGGCATGACTCCAAATTGATTTTGAGAAACATTAGTATCACGTTGTAACATATGTTCCACAATTCTCTCCTAAAGTTTTAAAGTATGACACATTAACTTAATTCCTATATAATTCACTCAATGTTGTGCATCAACTGTATTCTTAAAAATAAGAATCAACACACTAATTCTTCACACATCTGGCATCTTTTAGTCAACAAAATAATATTAAAAAGTTTAGTAAGCTGATAAATTTTTTCATCTCCTAAGCATTTGCACACCCCTATTGGAATATGATCAGGTCCAATAGCTTTTCCACACTTCAATTTTCTTTAAAGCCTCTCAAACTTCGATTTGACTGATACATCGATAAAAACAAAAATCTTTATTTTCATTTAGAATATTAAGGATATTAAAGTCGATCATAATTTCACAATCTTCATTGAAAAGTTTAGCAAAATATCTCATCCACCTTTATTGAATATCTTTTTCAAATAAAAATATTTCTTGATTTTCATCCTTAATGCACTCACTTGCACTAAATCCTTACTACTCATATCTCTTTGTTTGGCTAAATTATACATATATCGTTCAACCTCGTTAGTACCTAATTTATTATATAAAACATTAAAAATCAAAATATTTGCATCGCATATTGCTTTCTTAGACTCCTTACGAGCATATTTATATATTTCACAATTATCAAAGTTTTTACATCTAAACCAATTTTTATAATAATTCTTCTTATTTTTTATCTGTTGACCTTCGTATAATACCCAAAGGAAGATAAAAATAACAACAAAAAAATACCTCGCATCTCGTCGGATCCACGAATCCCACTAAACCGGCGCCGCGAACGATCACTTCTCCGCACTTCCTGCGTGAAATCGGCTCTCGATCGCTGCCCCATTCGCGTCGTTAAATACCCGAGCGAACGAAGCCTTCGGGACGATTCCAGTTCGCAAGCTCCCGAGCTCCAGCTCCCCCATCCACGGCAAAATCTCCTCAGATCCACTGCCCTCTCCCGTCCGATCCCCCCTCAATATCGATACTTCTCCTCCCAACCTCCTCCCATCCGACTCCTTATCCCGAAACTCAAGCTCCAGCAAGAAGCCCGTCGCCTCTTCCCTAGTCCTCCCAGAGCCCTGCTCGTGCCGATCCAGAGAGAGAAAGAGAGAGAGAGAGAGAGATTTCTCTCTAACCTTGCAGTAGATCCCTCACCTGACGCAGCCCCTTCCAGTCGGTCGAAAGTTCCGACATTTTGACCGTGAGCAACAGAGGGAGCTCTGCTCATTATAAAGGAGATTTTCGCCCCTTTGTTGTTGTCCAACTTCGCTTCTGGGACGACTTATGATGAGGGCATCAGATTCCGACATGTGTACCATCGC